CTCCAGGTCGATCAAGTGGAGTGGGCGTCTGGACTGCAACAGGCTGTGCTCCACCATCAGGCGCACCAGGTTGAAGCGCTTGCGGCGGCTGCTGCTGCTGCTGCTGCTGCTGCTGGTGTTGCTGCCGCTCCTGCTCCAGCTTCTTGTTGACCTCCTCGAGCTCCTGCTTGATGTGGGCTGGCAGGCCCTGCGGGAACCTGCTGTCCACAAAGTTGAGCAAGGTCGTGTCTTCCTTCTTGGCAGGGCCGTTGAGGCGCGCAGCCGCCTCCGCCACGGCTGCCTTCGCTGCCACGCTGTGCTGAGCCTCCAGCTGGGAGACCTCGGCGAGCAGCTCCTTGTACGATTCAACAGACTTGTCATACACCTCGGCTGCCTTGTCCAGGCTGATGAGGTTCTTTTCAACTTCACCCTTCTTCGACTCGAGCCTGCGCTTCTGCCGCTGGAGCTGGTCGGCCAACGACTGGGTCTTGGCGTCCAGCGACTTGCCCTCGAGCGCCTTGGTCTTGGCCAGGCGGAGGTCCTCGCAGGCCTGGATGTACTGCTTCCCCTCCTGGCCGACCGTTTTCTTCCAAAAGTTAACAGCCTGAATGCAGATGGCCACGTCGTCCTTGGCTGGGTCAGTGCCCTCGGGAGCGAGGGACGTCTTGGGTCCATTATCCTGCTGCTGTTGAGCCTCATGACCACGGGCACCACGGCTGCGAGACCACCTGTTGCGGGGGGCCTGCTGGGTGCTGCCACCATCAGCATGTCCTGCCGATTTGTTACCTGCTGGACGGGAATGATGAGACTGAGGCTTGAAACTGCGTCCGCATTCTGCACAATGCTTGTGACCACCGTGCCCTTGCCAGGTCCAGCCCCAGCAGTTGGGCGTCTGGCAGTAGCATTTCTTCCACTGCTTGTAGCCTCCCATGGCTGAGGGGAGACTGGGTGCTGGCCGTTCGCCGCGGCGACCAGCAGAAAAACGAGACTGAGGCAGTGCGTTGCTGGAAGCCTGGGACCGAGGCAGCCTGGCCTGAGGCGGGCTGCCGTTCCACCTCGGTCCTCGAGCCTCTGGAGTCGGGACGGGAGGTAAGCTCCGTCTTGAGGCAAAATGGCTACGGGGGAGGAGGAGGAGGAGGAGGAGGA